TTGCGCTGGCCGAGCTGCGCCCGCAGCTCGGCTATCTGGCGTTTCCCGTCGGAGCGCGATCGGCGCCCAGTAACTGCATTTTGGCGGCGTCAATTTCGACGCCCGCCGGTTATCATCGGCGAGCATTGGAAGGGGGCTCGCGTCGCGCCGTGTATCCCGGGTGGCGAGCGGCGAGCCGCCACTGGCTGTGGGCGCCGGACAGGGCCCAGACGTTTCCATCGATGACTGCGTCATCGACGCCCGTCGGCTATCCCCGGCGAGACCGACGGCGACATCTTTGGCCGCGTCCAGCAGGCGGCGCTGGCAGCGCGGCGCGAAGTCGAAGGGGCAGAAGTTCTGACCCCAGAGCATGAGGTGCTGAGGAGCACCGGCAATCGGCATCAGATTTACGCCGCCGCCGAGCACGCCGTCGCGGTTCTCGGCAGCGGGCCGCGCGAGTGGCCCCAGCGCCTCGACGCAGCGCCAGCGCTATTTCAACCACGCGCAGCGTCGTCGCTACCTGCGCGGGGCCCCCCAGGGCGACTACGCCGCGATGCAGGAGGAGGACGAAGGAGGACAGCATGTGGATTTGTGATTTGGTTCAGGGACGCGCGAAGTATTCTTGAGTTTCGAGGAGGACGAAGCGCCCGACGACTGTCGCCAGCGATCCCCGGACAGCCGCGCTTAACATCTATGCCGCCGTTGGGGCCGCGGTCATCAAGCGCGACTCGACCTTCCGACCGACGAGGAGGTGTCGAGGCTGTTGAGGGAGGTCGCAGCGGCCACTCCTCGAAGAGCTCACCATCTGGGTCAAGTACCAACGCTTCGAGGGGCGACTGTTCAATGGCGCCCGAAACGCCGCGGGCCCCAGGCGCGTCTTCAAGTGGAAGCACCAGAAGGGATCAGTGGGCATGGTCCCCAAGGCCACCCGGCGCTGCTCGGCGCTGAGGGGCTTCCGCGGCATGGGCGCCGGCGCCCTGGAGACGTTCGCTGGCGCGTCGAAGCGGGCGTCGCAGCGCCCGCTGTCTTCGCCGGCGGCGCGTCGCCCGGACCGGGCGCGCGTCGCCGCGGACGTCGAGGAGGCGCTCCTGCGAGGCACGGCCTGCGCCGAGTTGCAGGAACATGCCGGCGCGGCGCGCGAGGTGAATTTCACCCTGCCACCCGGCAGCGCAGCCACCCTCAAGCAGGTGCCTGGCTGCGAGAGCTACGACGAGCGGGCCGAGCGCCTGCGCTGCATCCAGCCAGGCACAGGCTGCAAGGACGCGCCCCGGGCCTTCTCCACGAAGGTCGCCCGGGCCACGCGCTCGCCGGATAGCGGCGCCGGGGGCGGAGGTCAAGCTGGGGCGCCTGGCGCTTGTGGCACCGGCGGCTCAGAGCTAGCACTCATGTTGCCCAGGTACGTCGGCGATCTAGAGTCTAGAGTTCGCTGGACACAAGGAGCACGTCGAATGGCTAATCGGCCACGTCGAGAGCGCGCGCGGCGAGATGAAGGGCGATCACGACGTTCCCACGCATTGCTGAACACCGGCGCCGCCGTGCCAGCGCCGCCGCGACGCTCGACCAGGACGAGAACATCGACGCACTGACATCGACCGGACACGTCGACCTGGTCAAGGCCAGGGCCGACGAGCCGGCCAGAGGTGAGCTTGCAGACGGTCTACGCCCTGCTCGCCCGGAACGCGTCGCCGTGCGCGTCGTCGCCCTGCAGGGGGGGCCATGGACAAGGTGCTCGCCCGTCGCGCGACGCAGCTCAGTTCAGTCGTTGTGGCCGCGCAGAAGATCAAGGCACGCGTCGCTTTTCCAGCGATGGAGCGCGCCGGGCGACTCAGCGCGCACGGCGACGCGTCGTTCAAGAGGGAGGACGAAGGGGGGCCGCATGCGCGCGCCTCGGCAAGCGCCGCCGCGCCGGCAGACAGATTTGTCACTTGCGCGGCGCAGTGAGCCGATCGCGCAAGGTGGCGCGCAGATCCTCGCTTCGCTCCGAGCAGCTCGCAGCATGCAACGCAGCTCGCGGACTGCAGGCGCGCCCCGTCGTGTCGCGCGAGACGATGCCCTGCCCCGCCTCTGCCGAGAAAATCAGGGGTTTGAGGGGGGAGATGTTGCAAGATCCCGAAGATCTGGTCGTCGACGGCGCGCCCGCGTCGTCGCCTGCTCGTGGATCCAGCGCCGCTGCTTTCAGGGGGCAGCGCGGCTGGTCGCCCGCGGCGGTTAGCCGACCAGCTCCGCGCCAAGCTAATCGAGGACCTTCTCTGGTGAGACGCTCGGGGCGCGCGGGCCGACCCCGTGACCGAAGGCAGCGTTGACCGGGAGCTAATCCTCAGCGCAAAGGGCGACAAGACCAGCCAGGACCAATACAAGGTCAATCTCAGTGATGATAATAAGAAGACGACGAAGAACGCCCCGATGTCCCAGCACATCTCTCGCCCAACAGTGAAGAAACTACCCGATCGATGTTGTTATAAGGTCGACCTCCGCATCGCCGAGTTGCGAGTTTTGACGTCGAGAGTAATGAAGAAGTCGGGCACGCAAGTGGCTGCTGCACCCGCTGACTGCGTCAGTGGAGCGGCAGCATCCATTTGCATGCAGTGCGTGCCCCACCAATGATATTTCCCTCGCAGTGGCCGGCGCGCTTTTTATGGATGGGGCTGTTAGTAGAGCCTTGTTTTGCAGCTGTCTCAGAAGGTGATTTCCTCTGCGTTTTGCTTTGGAGACCAACCAGGGCTCGGACCGGCTTGAGCACCAGAATCGAACGGCACCTGCTCTGCCCATTTTACGCGTTCCTTGCCCATCACTTGCCGGTGCCGTTTACAGGTTGCAACCTAGCCCGCCCGCTCTTCAATTGTTAGGCGCGCCATCACCGCTTCCATACCTTCAATTCCGTCTACCGAAACAAAGGCCCGCTTTACAGCACCCGTCTCCTTATATCCCATGTTTGAATTTCGTTTTGTCTCTGCTCCCAGGTTGGGGGCGACATTCCGCGACCGCGGGTAGTCCTCGCCGTCGTCTCCGCCCCCCCCGGCCTCCCCCGCGCCTTTTCCAACGGAAAGAGAGAAAACGAGAGAACGAGAGCGAAAGAGAGAGAGAGAGAGATCATGGGAAGGGAACGAGATAGGCGCCCCCCACGGACCCCCCTTCATGACAAGCGTAGCCCTGTGCCGATGCAAAAAAAGGACCCCCCCCTTTCCAGGCTAGAGTTGATGATCCACGGCCAAGAAGAGTTTGGTCAGGGGCGCGGGGCGCGGAGGCCGATTTGCTTATCATTGTGAAGCGTTCACCATCGAGGTTAACTTCTTTCTTATGTTGAGATAGCAACATCAAGCGAAGCGAAGACGTTTCCGAGGATGTCTCAAGCGAAACCAAAGATTGTTGGAGGCAGCCTCAAGCGAAACGATCAATGTTTCAAGGATGTCTCAAGCGGAACCAACAATTCTTCGAGGATGCCACAAGCGAAGCGAGAGACTTGTCGACGAGAGACGTCCTCCTCCTCCTCCTCTTTCGTTTTTTTTTTCTCTCTCGCTCTCTCTCTCTCTATATGTATCTCTCTCTCTCTCTCTCTCTCTTTGTCTCTGTCTTTTTTTTGTTTCTCTCTCTCTCTTTTTTTCTCCTTCTCCCCCTGGCCCCTGAACTTGTTTTATCGCTGTGGTTCACTATCCACGGAAACCGAGGCAAATGAGGCACCATACACGAGCAGATGAAAATCTGGATTTCCATTGTTTGTTTACATATTAAATCAAATTGATTTGGACTTTTGGCATTTCTCCTCCTCCTCCTCCTCCTACTCCTCTTTCTCTCTCTCTCCTTCTGTCTGTCTATATTTCTCTACTTCTTTCTATCTCTCTCTCTCTCTCTGTCGAACTATCTGTATATGTCTGTCTCTGTCTCTATATGGATTCCTCCTTCTCCCCCTGACACCCTGATTCCCCCTGACACCCTGGATTCTCTGTTTGGAACTTTGGCGTTTCTCCTCCTCCTCCTCCTCCTCTCTCTCTCTCTCTCTCTCTCTCTCTCTCTCTCTTTCTGTCTGCTTATATTTCTCTACTTCTCTCTCTCTCTCTCTCTCTCTCTCTCTCTCTCTCGTTCTAGATATATGTATATGTCTGTCTCTGTCTCTCCCTGTTTTCCTCCTTCTTCCCCTGGCACCCTGGACGTCGATCTTTCGATTATCGACCCTCGGACCTCGATCCTCGATCCTCGGACCTCGCCGCCGTCGATCCTCGGTCCTTGATCCTCGACTCTGAGATCTCGATCCTCAGACTTCGATTCTCGATCTTCGATCCTCGGCTTCCGGTCCTCTTAGCATCATCTCTTTCTCCTCCCACACGCTGGCCTCCGGTAGGCAACTTTTGTAATCCCCCCGCGACCCCGAACTTTATTATCCTTGTGGGATTATTATCCGTGGGACAGGGTTCATGGTGAGGAGGGCGCGCGTGAGGGGACAACCCGCTGGGTCACAAGAGTTCTCAGTCCAGCAAGCGGGGTCGGTGGACTTTTCCGCTTTTTCCGGGTTGAACTCATCGAATTTTCTTTCCCATTCACATCCTATTGCCCTTTTCGGCCCCCCCATATTCCTCCTCATTGCTCCTCATGTTCCTCTCCTTTTTCCTCTTCCTCCTCTGCCTCCTCTTCTTTCTCATCTTTATCATCATCACTGCCATCAATATGAATTTGGCTACTCTCACCGGTTGTCCTCATGTTCGCCCCTCCGCATCATCATCATCATCATCATCATCATCATCATCATCATCATCATCATCATCATCATCATCATCATCATCATCATCATCATCATCATCATCATCATCATTTATATTTCTCTCTTTTTGCTATTGTTCTCTCTCTCTCTCTCTATATATATATATATACATGTATGTTCGGAGCTTCCGTTCCCTATTCCGCCCGCCTTCCACCTACATGCTCGTTTTCTTCTCCTAAACATCCATCTTCTCCTCTTAAGCTCCTGTCCTCCTTGTTGTTGCTTTCCCTCCCCTCGTCACCATCATCTCTCGCGGAGCCGCCCGCAGAAACCGCCGCCCGCCTCGACAACGCAGAGGACGCTGGCAATGCCCAACGAGTCGGGCGCCGAGAGGGGGGCGGGCGTCAGAGGAAGAGCAGGCACCCATACCGCTACCCTTAAGTCGGGCCTTTCCCTCTACAGGAGGAATATTCAAATATAGCCAAAAAATTGTCAGGGGACGATTTTTCACCATTTTTGAATATTTGAGGGCATTGTTTGGTTATGTTTGATTCTTCGTCCAAAGCCCCTTGTAGGGGGACAGGCCCGACTTAACGCTACCCTTCCGTCGCTTTCGCCCTTTGGGGGCCTCGGGGCTTCCTGGGAGACTCTCGTCGCCGCGGGCGGACCCGCCCCGCAGTCCTGGGGAGCACGCGCCCTGGGAGAGGCTACGGGGACTAGTGGCATCGGTGCCTTCTGGTTTCCCCGCGAGAGGAAGGCGGGCGTGGCACTTCGACGGGGACGTGCGAACATTGGGGGGCTCCTCCTCCTCCTCCTCCTCCTCCTCCTCCTCCTCCTCCTCCTCCTCCGCCGCCTCCACCTCTACCTCCTCCTCCGCGGAAGAGGGGAAGGGGGGACGGGAGGCAGGGAGGGAAGGAGCGAGATTGGAGGAGGGGAAGCTGTTGGGCCACCGTCTTGGGCCCCTGCTGGGCACTCCCGAGGTCGCCTTCGGCCGGGAGGCATGGGCACTATCGGAGTACAAGTCGTCAGCCTCCTCCTCCTCCTCCTCATCCTCCTCCTGATTATGGCTGTCTGGGGCTTTTTTTTTTTCTGGGAATTTGGGGGCCTCTCTTGTGACTCGCCTGCGCCTCGTGATGCCTCTCGTGGGGTTCTCTTGGCGCCTCGTGAGATGTTCATGGGTGCCGCTGGGGCCGTCATGGACGCCTCTCGTGCTCTCTTGGCGACATCCCGTGGCCCTCTTCGTGCATCTTCGACGCTCACAAAGGCATGGCGTCACCCCTGGTCTCACTTCCAAATCACCAGAAGCGACCCCCTCAAAGAGGGGCCCAGTGAGTTGTAGACATCTCCCGCGCCAGTGCCCAGGGGACGGCGAATTTGGCGAGCGCGCTCTCCATGGAAGTCCCCTAAGCTTCTCAGTTGCGCTCTCGACTCCACGGTGGCGGCGCAGATGCGCATCTTGCCCCTCCAAGTGAATTAATGATGCCACCGCAACTTACACATTATATTTAAGTGGCTTACGCCATTACGCCGACCCCAAGCAGAGTCGGCACGTCCAGGGCGTTCAGTAGGCTATGTAGGAGCTGGAGTGGCTGGACATTTTTGTTCACGCCCGCGAGGGTGGCGCAGCAGGAGGAGGAGGAGGAGGAGGAGGAAACGCAGAAGGAGGAGGAAGAGGAGGAGGGGCGGAGGTGGCCAGGCGGAGGGCGGAGGGAGGAAGGAATCAAGGGGTGCAAGGGGGTCTGTTGGGGTTTCCCACGGGGCTGCTTGAGGGCTTCGGGGAGGCCTGCGGTGGAGGTTTTGGGGAGCCTTTTTCTCGGCTCCTGGTGGGCTCGTGGGGCTGGCTGGGAGTCTTGCGGAAGAGCCTCTTGGATACTTGGGGCTTGAGAGGGCCTCCTGGAATGACCCTCGGGGGCCTCTGATAGGGATGCGGGGGGCATCTGGTTGGCTTTTTGGGCGCTCTTCGGGAGCCTCTTGGGGGCCTCTTGAGTTTCTCTTGGGGCGCCTCGAGGGTCCCTCGGAGTCTTCTGGGGCCATGACGTGGGGAAAGGCTCGAGATGCTAGTTCGTATTGCTCCGTTTAAGCCTTTCTTTGGGCCCTCGTGGGCCGTCTAAGAGGCGCCTGGGGCCGTCTTGGGGCCCTCTTGGGCTCTCTTGGGGCTGTTTTGGGCCTTCTTCGGTCCTCTTGGGGGCCTCATGGGCCGCCTCGGGACGATCTTCGGGGCTCCTTGCGCCGGATTGGACGCTGTCAAGGCGAAACACGTGGGCATGTCGAAGATGACGTTTTCCCGTGGGAATGGGGCCACTATTTCGCGTCTTGTGGCCCTTTTGGCGGTCCTCTGGGAGCACTCTCGGGCCGTCCTGGGGCCTCGTGGGCTGTCTTAACGCCATCTTGGACAGTCGCGGGGTTGCTCTGGCCCGTCCCCACGCCCTCTTGGACGCTCTGCTTGGGCCGTTTTGGGGCTCTTCGGGAGGCTCGGGAGAGCCCCGGGATGCCCTGGCGAGCTCTGACCCCCGCCCCCAGAAGAGGATTTTGAACCCTCGGGGGGGTGGGAGAGGGGAGGGGGACAGCCAAACCCAGACCCCCGACGTCGTGATTTTTGTCGAAACGTCGACCCCCAGGGGTCCCGACCCATTCCCCGGGACTGGTGTTTCATCCTGAGTCGTTTTTTGATGCCTCCAGATGTCGAAAGTGGCGAACAACTTCCCGTCATGATTTTTTCACTACTCGATGGGGTCTGGGGATGTCCCACACGCCTTCTCATCTTCGGCAGGCGGGGCTCGGCGGATTCTCGCGAGCCTAGTGGTTCTGGAGGAACAGGATGAGGAGGAAGAGGAGGAGGAGAGGAGGAGGAGGAGGAGGAAGAGGAGGAGGAGGAGGAAGAGGAGAAGGAGAAGGAGCAAAAGGAGGAGGGGAGGAGGAGGAGGAGGAGGGAGGAAGAGGAAGGGAGGAAGGACGAGGAGGAAGGAGGAGGAGGAGAGAGGAGGAGGAGGAGGAGGAGGAGGAGGAGGAGGGGAGGAGGAGAGGAGGAGGAGGAAAGGAAGGAGGCAGGAGGAGAAGGACGAGCAGGAAAGGGGGAGGAGGAGGAGGAGGAGGAGGAGGAGGAGGAGGACAAGGAGGCGGAGGAGGAGGAGGAGGAGGAGGAGAAAGGGGAGGAGAAGGAGGAGGAGGAGGAGGAGCAGAGGAGAAGGAGGAGGAACGGAGGAGGAAATGGAGGAGGAGGGAGGAGGAGGAGGAGGAGGAGGAGGAGGAAGGGGGAGGAGGAGGAGGAGGAGGGAAGAGGCGGAGGAGGAAGAGGAGGAGGAGGAGGAGGAGGAGAGGAGGAGGAGGGAAGAGAAAGGGAGGAGGAGGAGGAAGGGAAGGAGGAGGAGGAGGAGGAAGAGGAGGAGGAGGAGGCGGAGGAGGAGGAGAAGAAGAGGACGACGAGGAGGAGGAGGGGAGGAGGAGGAGGAGGAGGAGAGGAGGAGGAGGGAAAGGGGAGGAGGAGAGGAGGAGGAGGGGAGGAAGGAGCAGGAATGGGAGAGGAGGAGGGAGGAGGAGGAGGAGGAGGAGGAGGAGGAGGAGGAGGGTGAGAAGTTGCACTTCTGCTGATGCTGTTCCATGCCGTACCCGCGTCCCGCGGCCGCAAGGGCAGCCGCGAAGCCATGCAGGTGGGCGTCGGATGCACAGAACAGAAGGTCATCACCTGAAGAGCTGAGGTCGTACACATCCCCTGCATCACACGACTGTCGGAGGTAGGAGGAGGAGGAGGAGGAGGAGGAGGAGGAATGTGGAGGAGGAGGAGGAGGAGGAGGAGGAGGAATGTGGATGATGATGATGATGAGGAGTGAGGAGTGAGGGGAGGGGAGGAGGAGGAGGAGGAGGAGGAGGAGGAGGAGGAGGAGGAGGAGGAGGAGGAGGAGGAGGAGGGAGGAGGGAGGAGGGAGGAGGGAGGAGGAGGGAGGAGGGAGGAGGAGGAGGGTAGGTGGGGGAGGGGAGGGCGGAGGGAGGAGGGAGGAGGGAGGTGGGAGGAGGGAGGAGGGAGGAGGGAGGAGGAGGAGGGGAGGAGGAGGAAGAGGAATAGGAAGAGGAAAGGGTGGAGGGAGGAGGAGGAGAGAAGGAGGAGAAGGAATAGGAGGAGGAGGAGGAGGGGAGGAGGAGGAGAGGGGAGGAGGAGGGAGGGAGGAGGAGAAGTGGCACTTCTGCAGATGCTTTTCCATGCCGCGCCAGCGGCCCGCGGCCGCGAGGGCAGCCGCGAAGCCCTGCAGGTGGGCGTCGGACGCACAGAACAGAAGGTCACCACCTGAAGAGATGAGGTCGTGCACGACACGACTGTCGCGGGGAGGGGGAGGAGGAGGAGGAGGAGGAGGAGGAGGAGGAGGAATGTGGAGGAACGTGGAGGAATGTGGAGGGGAGGAGGAGGAGGAACGTGGAGGAGGGGGAATGTGGAGGGTGAGGAGGAGGAGGGGAGGAGGAGGAGGGAGGGGGAGGAGGAGAGGGAGGGGAGGAGCAGGAGGAAGAGGAGGAGGAGGAGGAGGAGGAGGAGGAGGAGGAGGGGAGGAGGAGGAGCAGGAGGCAGGAGGCGGAGGAGGGGAGGAGGAGGAGGAGGAGGCGGAGGAGGAGGAGGAGGCGGAGGAGGAGGAGGAGGATAGGAGGAGGGCAGGAGAGGAGGAGGGGGGGAGGGGGAGGAGGAGGAGGAGAAGGGAGGAGGAGGAGGAGGAGGAAAAGGAGGAAAAGGAGGAGGAGGATGAGGAGGAGGAGAGGAGGAGGAGGAGGAGGAGGAGGGGGAGCGGAGGAGGAGGAATGATGACGAAGGGGGAGGCGGGGGAGGAGGAGGGCGCGACGACGACGGGTGCGCCAAGCAGGTGGAGGAGGAGGAGGAGGAGGAGGAATATACCGCGGAGGAAGAGGAGGAGCATTGGGATGTTGATCGTGATGATGATGATGATGATGATGATGATGATGATGATGATGATGATGATGATGATGATGATGATGATGATGATGATGATGATGATGATGATGATGATGATGATGATGATGAGGATGAGGATGAGGATGAGGATGAGGATGAGGATGAGGATGGATGAGAGATGAGGATGATGATGAGGATGAGGATGAGGATGATGATGATGATGATGGATGATGATGATGATGATGAGGAGGAGGAGGAGGAGGAGGAGGAGGAGGATGGTGATGCTGATGCTGATGTTGATGCTGATGAGTGTGATGATGATGATGACAATGATGACAATGATGACAATGATGACAATGATGATGATGATGATGATGATGATGATGATGATGATGATGGTGATGGTGATGGTGATGGTGATGGTGATGGTGATGGTGATGATGCTGATGATGATGACGGTGCTGATGATGATGATGATGATGATGATGATGA